AGAATAGTACACATCTGCCGTCTTACCTCAGGGCTCTGATAAGACCCTCCTTCTCTATCAGAAGATCTCTGAAGATACTCAGCGATGTGGAGAGTCCACGCATCACTTCATTCCACTGTGACAATGACATTGTGTTAATCAGTCTGATGAGCAAGAAATGGCAAGTAAAATAACTGTGTCCCAGAGGGTGGGAGATAAGCCCTCCAAATAGACAGTGCATTCCGTACCTGGGAATACCATTTGATCTATCATATACCAGTGACAAAAACAGTTGCCAACTGAGAGAGGCTGGAGAAAAAGGTGCTGTAGCAGGTCCAGGCTGTGGTGCAGAGCTCTGGGACTTAGGCTCTATGACTTAGCAGATCCAATGTTGTCAGAGGTTACGATTGTGGGGGGAAATGTCATGTGGCATTTATGGCAAGCCCCATGGGGAGCTGCACTGAGTACTCCTGGAAGTGTGAGTCCCAAGGGCATCCCTCCATAAACTCCCTTCACACAAACCTCTGTGTCAAAATCAGAGTCTTCAGATAACCTAATCTCTAGAAGATGCTAAATATCTCCACCTAAAATGACTCCTTAAATTGCTTACACTTAGACAATATTTTGAAAACATGTCTGTGTTACTGGAATGAGACCATCACCCCACAGGTCAGACCTAGGTTCAAAGTCAGCAATGACATTACCATACTGGGTGTCTGTACGACTTAATGGAAAAGCTGGACTTCCATAAACCTGACTCAACAGCCTCCAGTCCATCCCCTCTCTCCCCACCTGCCCTCCCTCCTTACTCTAGCCTTTATATCATCCAGTCTTGCATTAAATCACTGGTGAGTTTATAACACAAGATAAAAATTTCCTTCCTGTGTGAAGAGAGCACTGATCCCAGTAATCGCTGTTCAGATAACGTCACGTGCTATTTAAAAGAATGGAGTGATTCACTGAACCAATCTCACAGACTTAGAATTGAGCACCAGAGAAACACTTAACAGTTCAGAGTAGAAGTGGAAAGAAGTGACAGGTTTTTTCATAAACTATTTCATGACTATAAAGTGGCCATATTCCAACCAACTAATGAGTTATATCTTCTATGGATATTCAGGTAGAATGTGACTCCTCCATTCATAGCATCAAGCTATGGCCTGACTGTTTGTGTTCTCCCAACCCCCACAATATTCATATGTAGAAAACCTAAAGGCCAATGTGATGGTATTTGGAGGTGGGGCCTTTAGGAGGTACTTAGGTCTTGAACCCTCATAAACAGGATTAGTGCCTTCATAAAAGTGGCTCCAGAGAGAACTCTTGTCCTTTCCACCATGTGAGGATACAATAAGAATTCTGCAACCCGGAAGAGGACCTCACCTGACCAAGCTGTCACCCTGATCTTGGACTTCGAATCTCCAAAACTGTGAGGAATAAATTTATGTTGTTTATAAGCTACCCAGTCCCTTGTATTTTGTTATAGCAGCCTGAACAGACTAGGACAGATCCACAAAATGAAAAACCATCTGCTACTCCATTTTGTGGTCTGATATAGTAAATACAGAAACAGAAGCAGTGTATACATTGAGAATCCACTCCTCCAAACGAATGGTGTAGGTAAAAAGGACAAGTGGGGGTAAGAAATGGAGACAGCGCTACATCATAGAATCCTGATAAACATGTATTTGGGTTTGGCTGGGCAGGATAAAGAAGAAGAGAATTAGCCCCCAACCCTCCAGCCTTCTATTTTCCCACTTGTGAGAGCCCTAAGAGCCTTGAACAGCAAGGGATTTCTCTCTGGACTAAAGTGCTAGCCAGTACATGACTATGCTCCCTCATCAACAAATTTAGACCTTTTAGAGCTGTCATATTTAATGTCATTTTCCTGCTAATATCAAGAATGAGACCATTAGTATAATTACAATTATTCTAGATGGAGCAGGAAAACTGAATTAAGCATGAATGGGTTTCTTCACAAGGATCCACTCCCCCCACCCCACCCCCAGGAGGATGTTTCAGGGAACTGAATTACTTAACCCTAGTTAATGAATCTATAAGTCTGACAGCTTTCAAAACAGGAATTCCCTAGTTTCATGCTCAGAAACAAAATCTGCATTATTTACTCTCTACAGCTCTAATTGCTGCTTTACTCTTTTTTTTTATCTTTATTGTTGAGAGTATTACAGATGTACCCCTTTTTTCCTCCTATTGCCCCCCTCCACCAGGGTCCCGCCCTGCCCCAGGCCTTCACCGCCCCATTGTCTGTGTTCACAAGCAATGCATATATGCACATAAATTCTTTGGTTAATCTCTTCCTGCCCCCCCTCCTCCTTCCCTCTGAGATTCATCAGTCTGTTCCATGTTGACTGAAGTCAAAAGAAAAAGCATGCGATCGGGAAGCATGAAATAAGAGGGCATACTCTTCATTTGGTCGGCTCATTATCTGAGTTCAACTGACCAGAAATGAAGCCAGTACCACCAAGAGTCCAACAGAATTCTAAATTTTCAATACATATTGATATGTATAGGGTTCTCCAGAGAAACAAAAACCATGAAAACCATGAAATAAGAAAGATGATAGCAAAATTAATTACAAAGAATTGACTCATGTAATTATGGAATATAAGGAAATAATGGACTAAAGAAAAATTAATATGAACCCACTACAGATACTTGGTATTCATTCACTCATGTAGTAAGTATTCATTGGACATACCATATGCAAGGCAAATGTAACAGTGGGTAAGACAAGATGATGCTGGACTTATTAAAATTCTATTTAAAAAGATATTTTAAAAGTATAATGCCTAACACTTCTTTGCTACATTTTATGTGTCAGACTCTGTGCTAAATGTTTTATCTATATGCACTTCTCATTTACTGCTTACAAATCTAAATTAACCCTCATATTTTAAAAATTACATATGAAGGAAATGTGGTAGATTGAATAATGGCTTCCCCAAACCAAGAAGTCCAAGTCCTAACCCACAGAAGCTGTGAAGATGTTCATTTACATGGTAAATAGGACCTCGAGGATATGATTTAATCAAGGATTATGGATTATGGATTCCAGGTAGACCCAATGTAATCATAGGGGTCTTTTTAAGAGGGAGGTAGGAGGATCAGAGACATTAGTAGATGTGAAGACAGACGCAGTGGTTGGAGTCATGGAAGGAGGGTCCATGAGTCAAGAAATGCAGGCAACCCAACCTCTAGAAAATGGAAAAGGAAAGGAAACAGATCTTTCCCTAGAGGTTCATCCTTCCCACAGACCTGCTGACAGCCTTGATTTAAGCCCAAGGAAACTATTTCAGACTTCTGACCTCCAGAATTGTAAGATAGTAAAGCTGTGTTGTTCTAAGACACTAAATTTTTCATAATTTGTTGTAATAGCAATAGGAAACTAATACAGGAAAACAGAAATTTTAGAAGGTAGGTGCAGTACATCAAAGGTTCTCAGTTAGGGCTCTACCTTCAGTAATTAATTTTTGAAATCTGATATGGGAACAGATTATTTTGAAAATGTTCAAGTAACTCAAATATTCACTCATAGTTGAATAAAAATTTTTGGTAGGTAAATGAGAGATCAGAACTCTCCCTTAAAATTTCATGTAGGAAGTAGAACTTCCAGGGGAAAAAAACTACATTTCATTGCATCTGGTGAATATTTATAACTTTTTAAAGTTGTTAAATTCCCTACCCAACTGAAGTTAAACATTGTAGTAAACATGTTGAGTATAACATCAAAATCATAGAAATACCTACAATTTTATACCCACAAAAATTATACTCACAAAAGTACATTTTTTTTAAGACATCTTTGCCTCTTCACAAATTTACTTCTTTGTAAATTATAGATGGAAATAGATGAATATTATTAATATTCTTTTAAGCCTTAAAGAATATTGGCAAAGTGCCTCCATCTGTATATGTCTAAACTGTCATTTAATCTTTTTGGATGTATTTTGTTTGATATTTAACTATAAAAACCAAAGCCCCTATCTATTATATAGGTCCCTCTACACTCTACCTCTGTATATCTCGAAGTTCTTATGAAGCTATTCATCCTTTCCTTACTAGCTCACTTACTCACTTGTCCTCACTACTCAAATATCATTAAATGTTCAGCATATGCAAGATTCCCCTCTATATCCTTTGTACATGGAGATACACAGACAAATAAGACATAGTCCCTGCTATCAAGAAATTATTTCCTCTATTCTTTACTGGCATTTTGTAAATACCTTTATAACTGTGCCTTTTAATCTATGTCTCTCCCAAGACAGCGAGCTCTTGATGGGCATGACCATCTTTGTATCTGTGGAATTCAATACCTGTGTGCTTACACATGTTGCTAGCTGACTGAGTCAACCTAAAAGGAGAGTAAGGTAAACACCCAGGAAATTCACTCAACAAATCAAACATTTTAAATGAGAATATGGAAAATCACATCCATTGGGAGGATTTCATTAGATGGAGATGGCAAATAGGCTGTCAGGGCTATATGGTCACCAATCATTTTCATTTTCCTCCTGAGTACAAAAAAGACAATAGTTTTCAGCTTCCTCAGCCTGGATGGAGCCCAGTGAGGCCACATAGGATCCTGTGACTAGTTGTAGTCCATGGAACGTTGGTCCAAAGAACATAGGCTACTTCAAGGCCTGGCCCTAAAGTAAAGTCTCCCTTTAGATCTTCTGCTCACTCTCTTTTCCTCTTTCTTGACAACCCTACAGGCCATAAGTCAAAGATAGAGTAGTACCCCATTTACCCCTGGGGAATACAACCCAAGATCCCTAGTGAATGCCTGAAAACACAGATAATACCAAACCCTGTGACCTTAAAGGAAACAATTTATGGCTTCTCTTTGGCATATTCGATTGCCAGCATCACTACTCTTGTGCTTTGGGACCATTACTAAGTAAATTAAGGGTTACTTGAACACAAGCAGTGAAATATTGTAACAGTCAAGCTAATAAGCAAAATCACTACTAAGTGACTAACAGGCAGGTAGCATATTCAGCATGGATACTCTGGGCAAAGGAATAATTCATGTCCCACGTGGACGTGGTCCTCCAATGGTCCTGTGTCCATCCATTGAGTTTGTGATGTCAACTATGAGGTTAATAGAATCTGCCTCTGGACTATTTTTGACTTTTATGCAAAGGTCATGAGAGCACTCAAGAGGACAAAGAGCTGGGGTTTTCGTCTTGTAGTATGAGTTGTTTTATGCTTGCTTGCAAATACATGTCTGTATAAGTGGTAGAATTTGGCCGGAGACTTGCTTTTATTACAACCTGCCATCAAAATGTGGGGCAATGGAGAACCTTCACCCATCTTGAACTTCTCCACAGTTAACTGTTACATGACAAAAAAGACCTTAAGGGCTGTACCCCGTCAAATAGGTTAAAATTCATTCACAACCTTTACTTTGAATAAAATACTTGTTCAAAATAAAGTACAAGCAATTAGTTCCAAGTTTCATAAATCCTAATACGAGACTATGTTTAGAATCCCCAGATAATACTAATTTTAGATGGAGAGCCAATATTTGCTGCTATTGTACTTTCAAGGGACTTTACTTGTCAGCAACTTAAATATATTATTTATAGAAAAAATTCCTCTGTGATCAAACTATGATCAAATTGTCCTACATAGTAGGAAGAAAGTCAAAGGTACTAGAAAAGAAAACAAACTTAATTTTCCCCACTGGAATTCAACCCCTCAACTCTAGGGATGTTTTTAGTATAGCTCTAATTTTGCAATAGTGCACCAGGATAAAGGTGATCTCTAAAGCAAGTTTATACATCTTTAGAGCAGATCAAGGTATCTACATCTATATATCTTATTTGAGTGAACCTTTAAATGTAATTACCTTCAAATTTATGGCTTGCTTTATAGATCATGAAGATACTTTGTTAAATATTCCAGAAGGTAAATACCTCTAAATTGAGAAAACAAGATATTTACCAACTCTTTGCCAATCTAGGAAGGAAATATTGTGCTAGAATTTTCACTAGCCGCAAAGGTGATATCTTATAGTGTGGATAACCTGTGTTTCATCCAGAAGAGCTGGGTGACAATTCACAATGCAAACTTTTTTAGTGCCTATTTCTCTCTGGGTAATTAAAAGAACCACTATCACCTTCTGGGTAACCAAAGAAAGTCTCTGGGATTTTGCCCCAATGTTCTCTCTCTTTCAACTAGGGTTTATAGCTGGAGCAATATTCACCCTTAGTCTTAGATTCCACCCAGCCTGTGACTGGGACAACGCCTGTCTATAGACCTCAGGCAACCAGCCAGGGTCCAGAAAGCAGTCACAACGTTGCATTGCTGGCAAGGACAAGGTGCCTTTCCTGTGTTCTGCACATTTTGTGCCTATTCATCCACCATGAGCCCTGGTAATTGAATTTGTCCTGGGCTGCCACTTGCATCACAGCAGCAAGCTTCCAGGAGCTGTACTTTACCCGCCCTTTTCATTCTGTGCCGGTGGCGGGCACCAAGGTCCTTCTCCTGTTCTTCCCTTCCTTTTCAACTTGAGCACACAAAAGTCCCTGGAACCAGGAAGGCTGGGCTTGGGTTTTCAGGCAGGGCTGAGCTGTTTTTTCCCCTCATTTTCCCAAGAGATGAAGTTTTCCCCATCCACTCAACATTTCCAAACCTCAACCCCAACCCAGACCATACATTCTAGAAATTCCATTTTGAGAGAGAGGCAGTTGAATTGTAGGAGGCTTTAGCTACCCAAAATGTAAGAAGGTTGGAAAGGAAATGTTTTAAGGATAGTAGGGAGCCAGGTAGTTTACAAACATTCCATTTAGCTTCACAACAATCCACTGCAGCATGCCCATTTCACAGTTGAGAAAATCTGAGACCTAGGATAAGCAACTTGTCCAGGGTTCTACAGATAGCATTTGGTAGAGCAGATAGAGTCCATTCACTCTTCTACAGTATCTCTAACATTCTCTCTCTCCTCCACACCCCACACTGCCTTTCCTTCCCTATTCCCCAGCCCACTCTTCTTTCCAAGATCAAAGTTCAAAATAATTAAAACAGCACATAAGCTCACAAACAGACACAGGACTTATCTCCACTGCACTATCAGCACCTGACTTATATTTATTTGTTTATTGTATGCTTCCACAGACAAACTCCTCAGGGTTAAGAAATATGTTTTGTTCATTTCTCTCCATAGCACCTGTACAAGTGTCTGGCATGTGAGCAAGTAGAAGGCTCCCAATAAATATTTGTTGAGTGAATAGGTGGATGGATGGATGGATGGATGGATGGATGGATGGATGGATGGATGGATGGATGGATGGATGGATGGGCGAACGAACGAATAGATAAATGGAAAAGAAAGTCTAGCTAAATCCAAATATATAAGGAAATGCAAATAATAGAGGTAGCATTTAAATCAATATAAAATATGGATTATTCAATAAATAGTGCTGGGAAAAAATGGTTAGTCATCTGGAAAAAAAATGTATTATTATGCCAAAATAAGTTTCAGAGATATCAAAAATTTATATACAAAAAATGAATCTATAAAAATTCTAATGCAAACCATGAGAGAAATTTTCTGTGGTCACAGATTGGGAAACTCCTATCTATTCCCATAAACAACTGCAATTCTTCGCCAGTTAATAAAATGGCATTACGCTCTGTTGTTGGAAATGTGTGTATGTGCATATGTGTGCCTCAAGTAAGGGTAGGTGGGGGTCAGCAGATAAGTAAAAACCTAAGAATAAAAGAGTGATGATTTTTTTAACAGAGCTGAGCCTTCTTTCTCTTAGATTGAAGGGGAGAAGGAATGAGAGTGCATAAATTTGAGAGGGGAAATAGAAGTGTGAAGGAGTTCCCACCAGATGGAGATAAGAGTGGGATGGCTAATTTGGGGGGGGGTGGGGAATGCTCTGAATTAAAGATGTAATTCATGGTCCACATAGTCTCAGCTCATAAGTGGACACTCAACTCTATTAGCTTGTAATTATAGATTAATTTGACTGAATATTTTCCCTTTGATTAAGACGCCTACCACCTAAGGAGTGTACCCTGCAGAAGCAATTCCCCCATTTTAAGGTGGGGCTTTAGTAGATACATTCTCAGTCCAGACAATCAGGTTTCTATGAAAATTGTGTCCAAATTATCTACTCAAATAATGCTTAAAAACTGTCAGATTGAGACTAGGTTCAGGTACCATGGCAAAGGACATATATTCTTGGAGAAATCTTACCATGAAGGCTTATCTTACTCTAATACAAATCAACTATGCAGAGGAGTAATTAGTATTATACAAGCAAAATGATTTAATAATCATCCTACTGATATTGTCAAGGATCCCTATGACAGCATTACACATGCTGAGATTTCTTTAGTCTCAGACTATAATGCACCAAAACTTATATAAAACTTTTCTACTTGATTAGATCAGTTTTGCTTTGCATTAGAGGACATATATACTTCTAATGAGCTCTATATAAAATTCAGGGAAATATAAAGAACAGAACAACCTTATAATATAACAGGTATAATCCTTTCTACCTTTGAGCAATGGTTTATTGTTTAAAAATATTTATGACTAATATTTTCATTGTGGGTGTGGCCAAGAGTAAAGCAATTTAGAAGCAGGTAAGGGTGGTTCAAACTAATCCATTTTTAATTCTGACAATTACATTTTCTGTAAAAATTATGTTAGCTAAAAATATTTAAATTACTTTTTTTAAAAGAAAATGTTTCAAAATGTAAAACAGCAACTAGTTTTAAAACAGTCTTCTATAAAGAAATATATATATTTCAGACAAATTTAGAAAAACAAACTGCAGATTCAGTTTTCTTAGTGTGTCATCGAGATATTATTTGAATAAAATATAGAATAACAGTAGTTCCTAACCACTCAGTTTTACTACATTTATAAATAGAAACCTGTGACTGTGGTTAGAGAAGTTGGCACTTTCGTCAGTCCAGGAAAGGACCGTGTGAACCATGACATTTACTAATAGATATCAGAGTAGAAACAGAAGCAGTCCCTATCTTCAAACACTTACCCTCTAATTAAGAGGCAGGGTATACACAGACAAGAGTTTTCAAACATAAGATAGTGCATCTTTATACAACATAAATAAGAACTATAACAATCAGAGAGGGAGAGCTAAATATGATTAGAAGCTGTTTTTTTCTTTATACACTCCAAAAGGTTAAAAAAAAAGTTATATTTCAATTGGAAAACTAGGGTTAATTTTTTTTTCTTTGAACTTGGAGGTTTGTTTTGTGTGTGTGTGTTTTTAGTAGTTGCTTTGCATTTTTGCACTCCAAAATATAAATATTTCTCCATGAAGACAATGATAATTACCATTTACTGAGTGCCTATGGTACTCCTGTCATGGTGCCAACCACTTGATCCCCATTATCTGGTGAATCCTTCCAACAACCCCATTATACGGGTACTGTTATTCTTCAGAGAATTGCTGCTGGGCCTACCAAGTCTGTGCCTGCTAGTAGTTGGCCTGTTCCAATCAGTCCGTATACAAAGGAGCCTTTAGAAAATCCAGGCAAGTTCCCACCATCTGGAAGATTCCAGCTGACCCCTGTCCTTGCCGCACCTTCCTTTGCTTCTGTTTTAATTACGGGATGATCTCGTAACTTTAGCCCACTTCTTGGCTCCACTCTGGTGAACCTTCCTGCGTCTGACATGTGATCCTGTGATATTGCCATATTCATCATCATAGCTTAATAAATTGAAAAGCTTCCAAAGAGTTGGACAACACCTCTGTCCTTTCATGGTCTAGAATTTTGTGTTCTCTGAAAAATGAACACTCTGCTCCCTGAAAGGTGAAGAAAGGTCAAAGTCTAATGTTCTCAGTGGTTTTTATACCAGACCAGAGCATTTAGCCAGAATTATTACTAAGTTTTAGAATTCGGGCAAATGAAACTCTTTTGCTCCTTAGCTTGTATTGGTATTAGCTTTTAGGGGAGGGGAAATACATCCCTAGGGTTGATTACAAAGTTTTCTAGGATGAAGGGCAAGTAAGGGAAGCATTTTCTTAAATGGTATTAGGAAAGGAGGCTTTGCCATTCTCTCTCGTTTTCTCTAAAATGGGAAGAACAAGCTAAACTTAGACTTAG